ATGTTCAACTCGATTCTACAGACATGTATGGTAGTTTGTGATGCAATCAACTCAGCCTTAATACATGTAACCGCTAAGTCTGTCACCAAATATATGTACATAACACATCATCAGATGTTCACTAGTGAAGGCGACAATGGATACCATTGCCTTGTATAGTGTATTGTGTATACTGTAAAATACTTTATTATCGCTTGGAATTAATTTTTGCTATTTTCACTGAAGAAATGATTCAGAGTGAAAATAAAATCCAGTGAATATATCTTTTTTCCTATATTTTAAGATTCAAGATTCAATCAGTGAAAAAAATTATTACCATACAAAATACCCAAACAAGTCTTTTCAGCGAAAATTAATTCCAGCTAAAATAAAGTATTTTACAGTATTCCAAATTAAATACAGTATACAATGCATACTACAAATGCGTTAGTAAAACAAAGCAACAAATATCTCAGTTCATAGATATTGATCATCACTACTACTACCACTGCTGAGTTGTAGTAATGACTGCTGTACTAACAATTTCTGTAGTAAGTTAAGTTATATTAATATTGCTATTGTCATACCACTTGGTTGATGAACTGTAATATACAATGAAAACTGATTTACATATGAACGTTTGTTTCACATACCAGTAATACAATGATATATGCCTTGTTTTGTAAACTATATCCACTGAAATCATGAAATGGACAGACTTGTCAGTAAGATGCACTCTCAGTGATCCAATGCCCTGGATAATCGGGTTCAGGTGCACGAATGGGTAAAATCTCAAAATTAGAAAATGAAATATTACACACACATGAATCAAATTGACTAGGTAGTGATTTGGTCTGTATTTTATAGCAACTTGGTAAATTTTGCATATTAAAAGGATGTAATAAATACAATCTGACCCAATTAACCACCTGGAATTTGGGTAATCTTCGAATACTGTAACACACTGCATTTATATGTTGTGATCACTGAGCGCCCACCTTTACAAGGATACATAAATATTATTAGTTGTAAACAAGGATGAGTTGATTGACACATACATGTACGTGTGCATAGATAGAATAGATCTCGCCCACTATCACAAGTAATGTATTGAATGACAACATTTAATGTACATTAATTCTGAAAATGAGGTCCAAACTTAAGATAGTTAGAAATCATGTAAACTATGATACCATGGTTGTTTAGTACATGCCTTACAATGTATCTACCTATATAGGACATGCTATGTTGTAAACACAACTTTTACTCCAAATGTTATTCACAGTATTTGGATAACATCTAACAATTGCAAACGGATTTCGTGAATTTTGGACACAAAAGAAGATTTAAAATTCAGTTTCAGAAACATCAAAATGGCAAATGTAAATTTGCCCCTTATTGTCTCAAACAATTTTAGAAATGAACTGCATGGTCATTTCTCTGATTGTCCGTTTCCAAGGAAACAGCTGCATAGATTGATAACAAGAGTAATATTGTTGCACTAAGCTATGATTACATGTACATATACGACCTTTGAACTCTTTATCAGATTGTATAAATACCATGGTAGCAATACAAATTAGAAAACTAATCTAGATGATGTGAAGGGGGTTAGTGTGCAAAAAATGATGGAGTGCGTTCAAAGACCAACCCAGGAATGAGAGGACGTGCAAAGGTAGACAATAAGTATACTCACTCATGCTGACTAGGAACAGCAAAATTATATCGAGGGAAGAGGAAATAAAGAAAAAAAATACACAGTTCATAAGAAAACTCATCAGGCAAAAAGACTTGTTACTCAAGAGAAATGGGGTTAACTGAATTAAGACAGAACAAATTATTGTCAATGACATAGACCCCGTTTGTAATATAGATGCGAGATTTACTGCTCAAATTGACTAAGTGTTCAAAACGTCATAAAAAAGGCGCCGCCGACGGCGCGCGTTGCACACTCTTTAAGCTAGCTGTCAAACAACTTGTCAAGACAAAACATCTAGGGAAAAAGTTGATGCGCGAAAAATATAAGTTAACCTGCCAACCGTATTTTCTCTAAACCACGCCCACTGACGAGAAGTCATACAAAATGGAAACTGCCGGAGGTGACTCGTTTCGAACGCCTCCTAGAGAAAATCAACTCCAACGGTGGCTTGAAAATATTTACCACGAGCTAGTGAAGTATGTTTCTGCTCTGTGAAGTTCTGGATATACCAGTTTACGTGCAATAGCACGAATAACGGCAGAAGATATTCTGGAAATTTTACCAGGAATTCCAACAGGTCACAAGAGACTCCTACTTTATATGGCAGCCAAGTAATACGCACAGCAATCAAGCTGAACTTTATAATGCCTATGTTACTTCGTTTAACGAAGGCAGTGCTGGTAATTTGAAATGTCAGGCACTTTCTATGCGTATCCCCACAACAAAACACACACATTGTTGGCTAGACAAGACCACTGCTACGTATACAGCAGACAGTACACCACGTCAACGTAAAAAAATACAATTCCCAGTCTCCTCAAAAATCACATTACTCCAGTTCTTGTCACGAGAAGTACATGCCATCAGTCGAGAGATTGAAAGCCGAAAAGAAAGAAATCACTTCAATGTTTCGATCAATTCTATTTAAAGTCGCCATCCTCGAATTATGGTAATATCCTCTGTTGACTTTGCTTGCTCTGCATAATAATAAACTTCGCCATATTTTGCGGATCCCCATATCGGTGAAATGAAACCTTTCTGCTATTTCACGAAAAGAAGAAAACGACCAGTGATCGGATCACGGCCACACAATATAATTTCATTAACAATGATATTTTCTACCTCTTCTGATGTTTTTGACCCTCTCGTCAATATTTTACAGACGGTAGTAAGGGGCGGACAATTTGATATTCTGAGGGGCAGGAAGATTTTGTGAAAAAACAAAATTCTATGACAACGCTTGAAAAAAAACTCCTACACTATATGCATGTGAAAATTAAAGACAAGGTCTGCTGAAAAAAAAAAATTCCATATTAGATAGGGGAAAATAGTAGGCTTCATTTCAATATTCCTGGCCCCCCCAGGATATCAAATGGTACGTCCCTAACAGTATTAGCCGTATTTCTGGCATTTGACAGTCGGATATCGTGAGAAGCAATGCAGATAAACTTATTTATTCTGTGGGAGTGGTATAGAGTGGGAACGGTTGGGGGGTTGACTTTTATTTTTCACATGTCAATCTTTTCACTTTAGCGCGTAGATGTTTTGACTTGACAAGTTGTTTGACAGCTAGCAAAAAGATTGTGCGACGCGCACAGTCGGCAGCACCTTTTTTATGACTTTTTGAACACTTAGTCAATTTGAGCAGCAGGGTATAACGTGATTTGTGATGTATATCTGAAGTTTTAATTTCATTGGTTGAGGCAAGTATGAGATATGGCTTTGTGGAACTGCATTTGTTCAAACAAGATGACTGCCATTTCACCCATTTCAAATGATAGCAACATAAATGCATGTGCATTTATCAATGTACATGTGCAGTTGGCATGTCAGATATAGATCAGGAACTACATTTAAAAAAAAAAATTGACATCCGGCTGAAAATGCTTGATTTTGATACATAATCAAAAAAATAAAACGATGTGCATCTTGGTTCCGTTATGTTCAACATATGTACCAATTGTTAACGGAATAAGTCCATGCATGACTGAGATTCGATTCTGGAATTGTGAAAATGTGTGATTTTGATACATTTTTGACATTAAAATGCTGCTATTGGCCATCTCAAATCATAAAACAAATGCATGTGTATATATTTGATATAATGTCTGATGTATTTTGAACTTAATCTGTCCGAACATGAGTACTGAGTAGAAAATAGTTTACCGGTAACTTTGTTTGGGGATTGGCCAATAGAGATAGAAAACTGCAAATTATTGTGTTTCTTCACCTAGTTTTGCAGTACATAACAATATTTCTGCTAAGATGCATGTTTTTTAATAAATACTGTAAAACTATTTATTGTCATTGGTATTTAATTTCATAATTTTTAAGTGTTTTTAACTTAAAATTTTCCAGATGTTCACATTGAAAATAGTGAAATTAAAAACCAGTGAATATTTAATGCATTGACAGTTTGTTTGTTTTCCATAATTCTTCTAATAAATTGGTTTATGATTTGACAGTCAAATTTGGGTCATAGCGAGAATCTGAAAGTTGAAACGCCTCAAACGTGCGATTCCCATCTCACCAAGTAAAATTTCAAGAAATGAAGATATTATTTCACTAATTTTGAGCATTTTTATGACATTTCAAAATTATCCAATAAGCCAATTTTTTGTTTTAATTTTCAGTATCAAAATGGCATTTATACCTCTATAATAATAAAAACATTAAGAAGATGAAACATAAATTTCAATTTTGCTATTATTAAAACCTTCGTTAATGTTCTTCCATATACCGAGGATAGTTGAATATTTCTTGCACAATCTCAGTGTACTGTTAAATTTCGTCCAAGGCATTAAGGTACCCTCGGTTAACTAAAGTTCAACGCTTAGTAATATAAGACACACTCTGGACAATATTAGGTTGTAATAAATACGAGTCATAAAAAAATAGAATACCTACCGCCGGGTAATGAGAGGTAGATTCTGCAGAGAAGCAATGCAGGCAATGTGATCAATGAACTTGGTTCTTTCCGGCATTGCCTCCATGTTACACGTGTTCACAAGAATATTTAAACCCTGTAAAAAAAAATTGCATCAAGTATTACCAGGCAATAATATTATAGAAAATAAGCCTTGACAGTATCCTTGCTCAAAACAGTTTCATGAAAGTCTTTGGAACATTTTTATATTTGGTGAATTTCAGAAAAAATGTGATATTACTTGATGTGGATTACGAATTGGGACTCTCTGGGGCAGCCTTGACACAATTGGAAAATTTCTTTCCAATTTTTTTTTCAAACTGGAGATAACGAAACAATGCGTCTCAAATTAAATTTTAAAATGTGTTTGTACTATATGTCAAAAAAAATCTATTTGTAAAAATAGTAATAGTTTCAGTAATTTGGTCTATGCTAATACATGGTGATAAAATGTGTTCTCACATAAAAAAACCTGCATGTCTGCTTCAGAACAATCAACATTTGTGATACCAATTCAAATTATAATAACTTTGTATATATCAGTACATGTACGTTTGTTAAATTGTAAAGTATTAGTGGTTCACATGACAGCATCTTAACTCACCAATGGTTTTAGAGAATTCAAATGTCTCTCCCATCTTGAATCATCAAACTGTAATCCGTCTTCAGTCTGTAACACAATCAAAGCTAAGATTCTATAAAACGTGTCTTTTCGCTACCTTAGTTTAGCATAGCTTAGCATGTCATTAAGTGAACTAAGTAGTTTATTCAGCTAGCTAACCATGTTGTTTATTTAGCTTAGCATGTTATTCAACTAGCTAACCATGTTATTCAACTAGCTAGCTAAGCATGTTATTTAGTTAGCTAGCTTAGCATGTTATTTATTCAGCTAGCTTAGCAAGTTATTTAGTAAGCTAGCTAGCTAAGCATGTTATTTATTTAGCTAGCTAAGCATGTTTATTTAGCTAGCTAAGCATGTTATTTATTTAGCTAGCTAAGCATGTTATTTAATTAGCTAGCTTAGCATGTTATTTATTTATTTAGCTAGCTAAGCATGTTATTTAGTTAGCTAGCTTAGCATGTTATTTAGTGAGCTAGCTACCTAGCTAAGCATGTTATTTAATTAGCTAGCTTAGCATGTTATTTATTTATTTATTTATTTATTTATTTATTTATCTAGCTTAGCATGTTATTTATTTAGCTTGCTAAGCATGTTTATTTATTTAGCTAGCTAACCATATTATTTATTTAGCTAAGCATGTTATTCAACTAGCTAACCATGTTATTTATTTAGCTAGCTAAGCATGTTATTTATTTAGCTAGCTAAGCATGTTATTTATTTAGCTAGCTAAGTATGTTATTTATTTAGCTAGCTAAGCATGTTATTTAATTAGCTAGCTTAGCATGTTATTTATTTATTTATTTATTTATTTAGCTAGCTAGCTTAGCCATGTTATTTATTTAGCTAGCTAAGCATGTTATTTATTTAGCTAGCTTAGCATGTTATTTATTTAGCTAGCTAAGCATGTTTATTTATTTAGCTAGCTAAGCATGTTATTTATTT